CATTTCCACGAAGTAGACTTCAACTTCTAGAGACCCGGGCAGGACAGAGTACAAGTGGGCCATGGGGCTTCCGAGGCTGCCAGTCTTCGTGGAAACACACGGCCTTAACTTCCTTTTGAGTTCACACCACCCATCTCTTAGTTAGCAGCCCTATGCTTACCCACTGCACCCCCAGGGCTCCTGAAACATTCAGTAGATGTTGAAAATCTGAATGAGTTACTGAGTGAGTGGGAAAAAGGAAAGGAGAGCAAGAAATGTTGGGTTTCAAGCTGTCTAATGCAGTCTAGAGGAGGAACCGTGTTTCCATTCCAGGCCATTCCAGTCGATTTATTGCATCGTTCCATCGACTTTTCCAAGCCTCTGGATCCATGGAAACACGGTTGTGTAACGTAGATCTGTGAGCAATACAAAAGGTTGGCAGTTTTAAGCCTCTGAATTGTGGAGTGTATTTTTGCATATTTTGCATAGCATTATTTGTGTAACGTCCTTCAGTGACTCTACCATATACTTACTTTTGCTATTTGACTTGCTGTGCCAATCAATAGCAAATGTAATCTAAGCAGAAGCTTGAAAACACTAGCATGTTTCTGCACTGACTAGGTCTTCTCCCTCTTGTTCTTCACTATTGCCGTTGGAGCACGCCAGGACTAGCCTGCTAGAGGAATGTGAGAGACACAGGGAGCAAGAACCACGTTGTTCCAGCCAATCAGCTGCCTAGCTAACCAACAGCTGACTGAATGAAGATGCAAGCATGAGCAGAGCCAAGATCAGCAAAACTGCTTTGTAGTTCTGTAGATGTGTGAGCAATACAAAAAGGTTGGCAGTTTTAAGCCTCTGAATTGTGGAGTGTATTTTTGCATAGCACTGTTGTCTTCTATACAGCAGGACTATGAAATGCACATTTCAACTTGTTTAAAGTTTCTTTCTGAGCTCCAGAGTGTATGTATGTTTAACAACTTCCCAGATTTATTTTCCTTGTATGTCCCTCAATTCCTTGAATGAAACATGTCTAAAACAGAAGTCACTGTGTCCCTTGCCTCTCCATCAAATCTACCAAGATTGACTCATTGTCTCAAGTCAAGATAAATGCTTCCTTCTTTGGGTTTTTTTTTTTTTTAACATTTTATTAGGGGCTCATACAACTGTTATCCCAATCCATACACACATCAATTGTGTAAAGCGCATTTG